GATTTATGAGCCAGTGGTTCCCAAGAGTTTCAATTATATGAATTCCTTATTACTGTGATAATAAGTTATGCTTTTAGTATCCATTAACGATGAAATACGTGACAGAAAACCTCTATGAACTCAGTAGCATCTCAAAGTAGATTTATATTATTTCTTCTTTATTTCTGATATATTACCTGTAAATCATACCTCTTCTTATAATCCTTCACTAGATTCCTAAGGCTTTAGAATAAAATAAAACTCTTTATCACAGCCTTCAAGACTCTGTGAGACCTGACTCCTGCCTACCTTTGCAATCTCATTCTCACATCCTGTTCCTTCTTGCTCACTCCATGCTTCAGCCACACAGGTCTCCATTCTGATCCTTGAACACATCGAGCTCATTCTACACTCTGGACCTTTTATTTGTTTTTTCTTTGACCTAGGATGCTCTTTCCCATGATCTTTGCATGGTTGGATCTTGTTGTCGTGCAGTCCTCAGCTCAGAGAAGCCTTCCTGACCACCCCATCTGAAGCCTTCCCCACCCTATGAAATAAGCCTAATGTTCCATAGATGTTGCTAGCTTACTTCAGGGTAACCACAATGTGAAATGTCCTTTTATTAATGTTGAGAAAACTAATGTGGCTCTGTTTATTCATAGTGAATAATGCTGTCTCCCTTGTTGGAGAAGGAAGTATATATTTCCCTATACTCACCATAGAATTACCTAGTTTTACCTAAGATTTGGTAGAAAGACAATTTCTGTCAAATATTCTTTGTGTCTGTTTAGGAACTTTCTCTGCGATAAGTAAATGGGGAAGTGGAATTTCCAATTTATTTTCCTAAAATTGAGAGTTTGGAAAAACTATTGCTAATCCTGGCATTAAATTATCTGGGGATAGTATACCATCTAATGAAATCTTTAAGAAAAGAAAGGATCATCGTGTTGGTTTCAGCATATATAAATTAAGACACACTAAAATCTTAGGGTGTTAGAAAAATAATCTATATCCAGTGATGTGCTGGAGCTAACTTGTACCAGCTTGTATAAGAACTGCTTGTTAAATTTTCAGGAATTTTGCAAGCAAGTTGAATTTGCATTAGTAACTTGAAATTGGCTATGGTGGGAGTATTTATACCATAGAAATTGGCAAACGCTACAAATCAGGGCTTTTTTTTTCCTGGAAAGCCAGTTTACCAGCACACCATTATATATAGCCAATATTTCAGAGGCTGACAATTTGATGATGACAAATCAATGGGGCTGGCTTGGAATGACCAAGTTACTTTTATGGGTGTTTGGATTTAAAAAGCCACACATTTTGGGCATGGAAGAAAAAAGGTTTTTTTGTGAGGAAGATTATCGCTGAGCTAACATCTGTGCCAATCTTCCTCTATTTTTTGTATGTGGGATGCCACCACAGCTTGGCTTGATGAGTGGTATATAGATCTACGCCTGGGATCCAAACCTGCAAACCCTGGGCCACCGAAGCAGAGTGTGTGACCTTAAACACTATGCCACCAGGCCGGCCCCAGAAAAAAGTTTTTAAAAATAGATTATTTGTACACAGAATCAGAGAGGAAGAATCAGAAATCAAAATCTTTGTATTTACTTCTAACACCTCCTATATCAGGCTGCTGGATTCTTACAAAATGTTGTTAAAATATATACTCTGGGTTAGAGCAGATAGCCACCTTCTGGAACTTGTGATAGCAGTTCTCATACTGATAACACAGCTCAACTGATCTCACATGCAGCATCACGTCTAGTTACAGTGAGTGTCTGACCGTTTCTTCAGGGAAAGAAAAGGATTTGAAGAAGAGTTAGGTGGAGTCTCTGATTGATTCTAGTCTAGAATGTTGGAGTAAGTGGAGACTAAGGAGAATTGACCTAAGTTTTCCAGCCCTGAATGGGAAAAGACTTAAAGGAAAATTATGTGAAGAGGTAGGGCGTTAAATATTACTCACTGAGTACATCTCTGACTTACACTACACAGAGGTGTAAGATTTCCGTCTTGCTGTGAAAGCGGAGATGAATTATTTGTGACATTTCAGAGGTAAACATGTTATCGGGCAATACCTGTATGAAGTGATAAATGATAAGCCATAGGTCTTATATGTCTTAGCTTGTTTTAAAGTGACACAAGCCTCCATTTCATTTCCTCAGAGACTTGATGGAATGTCCTCCATTTAAAATGAAATTTGAGCAGCTAAAGCATCCTGAAATGCCCCTTCCAACCACACACTTTGTGATAAGAACTTGGAAAATTTGGATAATTCTAAGGGATTGTGTTAGACCTTACCGTTTTATCTTTTCTGTCTTCATAAAACAGGTTAATAGTACTGTTTATGGGAAGAGAGCAAGTGGCTTTCTTCAAATCATCTTTGGACTGAACTAATTAGTTTTTTTGGAAGAGGACTTTATTTCTAATCTTTCTAAGACTTAGATTTTTAATGGAGCACTATTAATATTTCCCAAAAGATAAGATATCATCTGTAACTAAAAGTTGGGATTCTGGAATTGATAACATCTCATCTTGGTTGTATTAGAAAATATGAATCCATTGATGGCCTCACTCTCTGGCCCAAAGAAAATAAAGGAATTTTAAGTAAAGAGAATAGTACATAATTTGATTAAAATTAATTTCCTGAAGATCAAAGAAGTCCTGGTATTTGGAAAAATAATCCCAGAACAATACATCTCAGGTGTCATGATGAAGGTGCTACTGGTATTCTTGAGGTCAGGTATGGTGAAGATTAAGAAAGGAGATCTCAAGAAAATCGTAGATGGGGAGAAAGTTTTGTGTCTTGTGTTGAAGACTCCAGAGAAGCAACTCTTTGCCTCAGAAGAAATAAAGTTTTGACAAGCTGGAATTTAATAAGCAAAATTTTAAAAAATACAGCTAAATAAGCCCTGTCATACTAAAGTAAAAGTCTTACAAACAACTTTTTTTTATAATTTATTATTTTTTTTTTAGGAAAATTAGCTCTGAGCAAACATCTGCCACCAATCCTCCTCTTTTTGCTAAGGAAGACTGACCGTGAGCTAACATCCATGCCCATGTTCCTCTACTTTTTTATTATGTGGGATGCCTGCCACAGCATGGCTTAACAAGTGGTGCCATGTCTGCACCAAACCGATTCAAACCAGATCGAAACCGGCGAACACTGGGCCGCTGAAGCAGAACATGTGAATTTAACCCCTGCGCCGCTGGGATGGCCCCTGAATTGTTTTCATTTTTATTACTCAAAACCATATCATTTCAGAACACAATGTGTGAAGGCTAGACCAATCAGACTGAGGTCTAGATAAGAAGCCATCCAGAAATGAGGAGGGCTAATGCATTCGTCAGTATTCACTACTGCAGGTCACGTCTCTAAAAGCCACTTGTTAAGCAACTGTGGACAAAGACCATCTTGTGGTCAGATGCTTTTTAATTAAGACTTTTAATATAAAACTTCAAATGTGTTGCTTCCTCTCTGCCTTTCTAAGGTCTTCACTTTTGTCTTACCATTTTCTCACTTCTCTCATGGTACTCTGATTGCGCTCCTCCTGACAGTATATTTCTTGGTTTCTCTTTACTTTCATTTTTGTATCCTTAGGAAGTCATTTGGAGCTTTTTAACCCATGGAATCAAATTATCATCATCTTTGAAGTTCTGTAAAACTTTCCTATTAACCACTCAATCCCAAATATAGAATTTATAAATATCTTTCCCACTGACTACCTATTTAATTCCATGTCTAAAGCATGTTGTGTTTAAAGTACTGCCTAGTTACCTAAATTTAAGCTGCTGAAGAAATAAATATTCTCCAAAGAAGAATGAGATATGGATAAAGGCATTTCTACCAGTTGTTTCAAATAGCTAATTAGAAATCCAATTCTTACTATTTTTTAATCCAAAATATTTCTTTTTCTTTCTTTCTTTCTTTTTTTTTTTTTTTGAGAAAGATTAGCCCTGAGCTAACATCTGCTGCCAATCCTCCTCTTTTTTCCTGAGAAAGACTGGCCCCGAGCTCACATCCTTGCCCATCTTCCTCTACTTCATATGTGGGTTGCCTACCACAGCATGGCTTGACAAACAGTGCGTAGATCTGCACCTGGGATCCAAACCAGCGAACCTCAGGCCACCGAAGTGGAACGTGTGAACTTACTTGCTGCGCCACCAGGCCGGGCCCCCAGAATGTTTCTTGAGCACCCATAACTGCAACTGGCATTGTAGTACATACCGGGCATATAGTAGGGAAAAAAATTAAAAATGATCCCTGCCGTCATAGAGCATAAAGTCTAGTGGAAGAAGCACACACAAAAATAAGTAAACAAATTGTGTTTTACTGTAATTGTGTATAGTACAATCATCCTGATATTCTTTTATAATATATAAATTTAGTAATAATAGTGTTCATTCTATAAAATTTTGTTGTGTTTTGTTCATATTTATTCTTAAACTAAGTTGCAAACTTCAATTTAAAATGTCTGTCCAGTGGTTTTCCCACGATATCTGTGGTTCAAAAACATTTCAAAACAGGGGCTGGCCCTGTGGCTGTGTGGTTAAGTTTGCGTGCTCCGCCGCAGGCGGCCCAGTGTTTCATTGGTTCGAATCCTGGGCACAGACATGGCACTGCTCATCAAACCAGGCTGAGGCAGTGTCCCACATGCCACAACTAGAAGGACCCACAGTGAAGAATATACAACTATGTACCGGGGGGCTTTGGGGAGCAAAAGGAAAAAAAGTAAAATCTTTAAAAGAAAAAAATTTCAAAACAAAATGGAATTGTTTGATTTTGCTTGTTTGTTTGTTGGTCACATATTCATTAAATGATACTTAAAAGAAAATTTCTCAGTGCCTTTTCTAGTGCCATGGAATTACTTTGTTCTCAAATCTTTCTGAAAATTATTGGATTCCTAACAAGAAAATGCATTTGGAGTGTGCCAAAACACTGTACGGCTCCGCTAAACCTCATAAACTATGAAAGCCCTTGTTAGATGTGCCAGTAAATCTTCCCTCTCTTGCCATAGGTCTAAGGATCTCATAAAGGAAGCCATCCTTGACAATGACTTTATGAAGAACCTGGAGCTGTCGCAGATCCAGGAGATTGTGGATTGTATGTACCCGGTGGAGTACGGCAAAGACAGTTGCATCATCAAAGAAGGAGATGTGGGATCACTGGTGTATGTCATGGAAGGTATGGTTTGTAACTCTGATCCTCTGACTTTCAAATATCCCCTTTTCGTCTTATCAGCCTGCACACAGATGGCAATGTATTACGTGGGGCAATTCTATTTTTCCCTTCTTTGTTGAGAAACAATTTGAAAAGAGATGGAACACTACTTAGATACAGTAGTTGACTAATTGTATGAAGTGTTTGTGTTTAGAATGTTAAGATGAGAATTCAGTATTTTTTCAGACATAAGAAGGGGATGATACTGTGAAAGAAATGCTATTTATTGCACTGAATAAGACCATACACTGTCAGATCATTGAGCAAGCTCATAAAGCTTCAATGGAAGCTCAAGTCTATTTTTGGTCAGATAATCAGTGTCTTCAACTCTAACTTTCAATATATGACTAGGTTTCCTGCTCTGATTCTTCTATAAAAAGAGAATGTTTGGGGCTGGGCCTGTGGCCGAGTGGTTAAGTTCGCACCCTCTGCTGCAGGCAGCCCAGTGTTTCATTGGTTTGAATCCTGGGCGGGGACATGGCACTGCTCATCAAACCACGCTGAGGCGGCGTCCCACATGCTACAACTAGAAGGACCCACAACTAAAATGTATACAACTATGTACCGGGGGGCTTTGGGGAGAAAAAGGAAAAAATAAAAAAAAATTCTTTAAAGAAAAAAAAGAATGTTTTCTGTGTTTTATGTGTCTGATAGAGGCAGATCATAAAGTTTGGATGGCATATTAGCTGCCTAATTAATGAGTGATAGCTTATTTCATAAATCTTGCACAAACTAAGATAGAAGCTCCTTTGAAAAAAAATTGAAGCATGCTCTGTGTAAATATGTTTTATGCTTAGGTAAATTTTCATAAAGTGTATTTATAACTTGGGATTTATAATGGCATGTTTTCCTTTTGTGGAAAGAAAGAAGCCTGAAATAATGACTGAATCAGCTGAGAAGAAAGTGATTTCAGAAATAGCTGGAATATAAGACAGTTGGCATACAAAAATCACATTTGATTTATTAGGTGGCAATTATAGTTTTATCCAAAACATTCATGGCGGTGTCCTATAACTGTGAAGTTTATAGATCGTTAAGAGAAAGAGTGTATTTGGGCAAATCACTTAACTTCTCTGAGTTTCACCCATTTTGTAAAAAAGAAGATACCATTTCTTTCTGGCAGTGGTTCTCAACTGGTGTTGATTCTGTTCCATAGGGGACATTTGGCAATGTCTGGAGACTTTTGGTCCTTACAATTGGGATGAAGTTGCAGGTAGGGGAGGCTACTGGTATCTCGTGGGTAAAGACCAGGGATGCTGCTCAACAGGGCACTTGCCCACAGCAAAGGATTACTTGGCCCAAAATATCCTCAGTGCCAATCCTGAAAAGCCCTGTTTTGTACCTTCGTTACAGGATTGTTATGAAGTTAATATGAAGCAATTTGTATGAATGTTTAAAGTGTAAAATGTTATCAAATAATCAGTATTATTGTTTCTATTAAATACTTGACAGTACATAAGAAGTGTTTTTTATGCCTTTGTCATTCACCTGTTAATTTTTCTTCGTAGTCTTTTTGACAGGTTAGGTGTTCAATTTTTAAGTAGTAGTTTCTATCATTCTTTTCTTTTACAGTTTTCAGCTTTTGTGTCAGTGTTATAAAGTTTTTCCCTGGGCCAAAAGGAAATAAGTGTTCAGCTAGAATTTCTTATGATAAAAACAAGACATAATAAATAAAAATGCAAATGATATATACTTGGAAGAGAATGGCAGAGAAAGCAGATGAAATTATAGGGCAAGGGTATATGTGGGTAGTGAGCAGGAGGGATGAGGAAAATGCAAGAAATATATAGAGGCTGGATGTAGACTATGAATACAGATGCGAAATGTTAAGAACTACTAACAATTTGAAACCAAATTTAAAGCATTTCTGAGATTATAATATATCAATGGTTTATATTATTTGATTTTTCAGATATTTTATTGGCAGGCATGTTTTTAAAAATATAACTTTTGTATAAAGTTTTGCACACTTTACTTCAGCTATTTTCAAATCCTAATTATTGATATTTCACACAATCTTGTGAATTTTTTCTAAAAAAAGTTCTATTTATCCATACTGTTCCTGTTTCTAAAACTAACTGCAAGTTAACTAGCCATATTAGAAGAAGCTTGGAAATCATAGTTAATATTTACTGAGTGTTTAGAACAACTCCCAATGTGTAGAGCATGCTGCTTCTAAACACTTCCCATGTATAATATTTATTTAATCCTCCAAACAGTCCTGTGAAGTAAGGGCTAATATTTATTATCCTCTTTTATAAGATGAGGAGACTGAGGCCCGATGAGGTTAAGTAATTTGCTGAGGTCTCCCAACTAGTTTATAGTAAAGACTGAACTCAAGCAACTTGGATTCAGAGCTCAAGCTCTTAACTACGGGGTTATGAATTGCTCAGGGTTCTCTAGAGAAGCAGATGTGTAGGGGAGTGTGTGTGTGTGTGTGTGTGTGTGTGTGTGTGTGTGTGTATGTATTGAGAGAGAGATTTATTCTAAGGGATTGCTCACGTGATTTTGGAGGCTGGTGAGTCCAAAATCTGTGGGATAAGGCCAGCAGGCTAGAGACCCAGGGAAGAGTTGATGCGACAGTTAAGTCTGAAGGCTGCCTGCTGGCAGTTCCCTCTTCCTCAGAGGAGGTCTGTTTCTTTTCCATTAAGGCCTTCACCTGATTGGATGAGGCCTACCAACATTATGAAGCTAATCTGCTTTATTCAAAGCTACTGTTACTGAAAGTCTGCTGATTTAAATGCTAATCTCCATTAAAAAATATCTTCACAGAAACATCTAGCATATTTATAAGTTTTAATTGAGGAAATGTTTCATTGTTTAATTAGTTTTTTATCAACTCATTCAATCTCCTCAAAATTTCGATGGCAATGTTCTTAATATAGATGGATTCTTTTTCATCTGTGACCATTAATATTTATAAAGGGTATACCATAGTAACAATGGATGAAGCACTGTAGAGAATCTTTCACAAACTTGCTTATTATCAAGACATGCAGAAAAACACCCAGGGTGTTTACATGGAAAATCAGTCCAATTTTTCCTGTCTCTCTTCAGTTAAATGAAGTTTTCTTCATAAAATGCTTGTTTAAGATGTGCGTTAAATGATTTTTATTTTAGCCTGGGCAGTCTCCCAAGTATTATTGCATACCTAAATGCTAAAGTTTCTCATCATTTTAACAAAAGAGGATAGTCATATGGTAGGACTTCACTAATTAGGATGACTGAGGAATAGTCATCTGGAGGTAGTGTAAATACACTATCATGTATTTTCAAGCAAAATGAGTTGCGTGACTTTGAGATACTTACAATTGCTGGCTAGTAGAAGTTTCGGTTTCAAGTTTTTATCAGAATTGTTTGGTATTAGTTTCTTAAGGCAGCAGTGTAAGTAGACTAAGTTGCTAAGACTCTGTTTACATTTTAATTATGTTTTCAAGTATATAAGTGACTCACAAAAATACTTGAATAATGTTTATTTTCTTAAACAAATAGACATTGGCCTTTTATGATGTAACATTTGTTAATATCCTTACATTCTTGCTGTCCATAAAGATAAACTTTTGCCCACTGTCATCCAAAATAGAACAAATTCTGACTTAGTGATTTAGAGTTGATCATGTGACTAAAACATATTCTTCGGGAATCTAATATTTTCATATTGAAAAATGTCTCATTCAGGTGCATTAAAGAGGTTGATTTGCTTAGCGATACTGATTTTGCACGTGTAGGGGAGGAAGACATTTCCTCTCCCCAAATGTGGGTTCGTCTGGCCGGAGAACGAATTAAATTCACATGAGACAGAATAGCAAGAGAAAATTAAACAAAGCTTTATGAGGAACCATGGCCCGGGGCCTTTCTTCCCGAAGGAAGAAAGGACACTGAAGAAGTGGGGTGCACATAGTGGTTATATACCCCCAAACAGGGTGTTTCACATGTGATTGAAATGTCCCTCCCACAATAGTCACAAGATTGCCCTGTTCGCACAGTGCATGATGGACACAGCTGGTAGTGGTCTGCTGTCTCAGTGGGCGTAGCTGGAGGCAAGTCTATTGTCTGGAGCTGGGCGGCCACAGGTGAGCGCAGCAATCAATTCCTAGCCTAAGGAAAGATGCTTAATCCTTAAAGAAATGCCAGCATTGGCAGCTGGAGGGAAGTCAGTTACAGGAGGTTACTAGACAAGCACAATAAAATGCAGATTTAAGTCTTTGCCTTTGGTATTGATCAAGAGTTTCTAGAGAGAAGGTCATCTCCTTTCTTCTTCCAGGTACAGAGAGGGAGGCACCTTTACAGATAGAGATTTACCTTACAAATGTAAATGTGTCCTAACAAAGGGCAAGTTCCATTCCTCAGAGCCTCCTTCCCTGTCCCAGTTTATCAAAAGCAATCAGCCTCAAATAATCCTGATGCCAAAGAGACATATCTTGGGGTGGCCAATTCCAGGTCCCCACACACGTCTTTTGTGATTTTCCATTGCGGAAGCAGATAGATACATTTTTTTCATTGCAGAAGCAGATAGATTGCATTTCATTTTCTAAAAATGGCAAGTGTCTGTTTAGTGTTCTTTGACCATTGGCTACTTTGAGTGAAACTTTTGAATGAAATCAGTTTTTTTTGAGGCACTTGTTAATGGTAATAGCTTTTATGAAGTACTTATATATGCCAGATATAGTCATGCATCGCTTAACGATGGGGCTACTTTCTGAGGAATGCGTCATTAGATGATTTTGTCTTTGTGTGAGTAGCATGGAGTATACTTACATCTAGGCTGTATGGTACTAATCTTATTGGACTGCAGTCATATATGTGGTCTGTCATTGTGCCTCATGAATGTACGGTTTAATCACTTTATAGGGATTAAGTTTTTAATTTTCATAACAATCTTAAGAGGTAGGTATTATCTTATCTACATGTTAATAGGTGAGGAAACTGATGCATGGATAAGTTAAATAACTTGTCCAAGATCA